TGGTGCTGATGAATACATTTCAGCTCTTTCAGTAGAAGGCACTAATGAAAAATACTACTGTGGGGGCTTTTTTAGCTTTTTCTGATTCACATACTTCTGGTGTTTTTATAAGGAAAACATTTAAACATTTTACAAAAATCCTTCGCTGGTGTGGTTGAGACTATTAAATTGTGCAGTGATATACAACAATTTATTGCATATTTAATTGTTTGGCTTTTTGTACTCTGTTCTCATTTTGAAAAAACTTCCAGCTCTGTCTACAGATCCAAAAACCTGTTGACATAACCATTATCTAGGGGAGACCTGAAGGGACTCAGTTGTCTTGTTATCATCTTGTTTTAGGTAGATTAAAAGCTGAATAGAAAGCCCAGATGTACAGGAATGTATGTGTTTTTCATGTTAGGTAGTTTGGAGGAATCCTTGTTTTTGTTCTTTAAGTGAAGCAGTGATCCCATGAGTGAATCATATTCATTTAGGGATCCTGCCTGAACAAATCTCCTTGGTCAATGCCAAGCTTTTGAGGAATGGGCATTTAATATTCATTGCTTTGAGGACTAACTTTGCTGTGAAATCAGTAATTTCTCTTTTCTCTGTGTTGTAAAATCTACTGTGCTGGTAATACATACTTGAAGTTGGCGATCTGATCACTCTAGATATCAAAGTATATGAACAGTGACAAAAGTGAAACTCCAGAAGTCCCCACACCTTCCTGCTGTGGTGTGTGTTGGAGTAATAAAGAACAGAACATATTTGGCTTCTAGGGAGTCTTGTTCTCTGAACATATGCTCAAGCCATGCCTTATTCATTTTTTCAGTGATGATACATATATGTTACTTGACCAGGGACTAGGAGCTGCCCTGGCACCCACATCAAATCATGTGAAGAGCTTGCAGATAATATTAGCCTTTGTTGTTAAAATGATCTACAACTTCTGAAACACTGCATTGTGTTAAGAGTCCCTTGAACCATTCAGGTCTTGAGTCCTATGTAATTTAAAGAGTTAAAAATTAATGATGAGGATAGAAGCAGCAGTCTGGTGAGTAACCCAAAGGACGTCTATGCCTTAACCATTGAACTTTAATGTAAGCGTCATCCTGAGTGTTGAAATCTTGCAATTTAATGGCATGTTAAATAAATAACAATTAAATTGAATGACGGTTTTACAAGTACTGCTTATTGTCACAACAACCAACATTGACAATTCCAGTATAAAGTCATAATACATGTACTGGTTTTAGTGGGTTGATCAAAGCATAGCAGGGATAGGTGATACTACCCACAGCTCTCAGCAACTCCTGGGCACAGGGCATGTTTCCCTTCAGGAAAGTCACTGATCAACTTTCAGTACACCCTGGATCTACTCAAGTTGCTGTGACTTGTGTCTCTAGTTGCTCAGCTCTTTTTCCCATGCGCTTAATCAGTAAAAATCATTAGACTTTGAATTAGAGGTCACTTAAACCAGATGAATCTGGATTTTTCTCTGTAGTTACATGTAATTTTTTTTCTTGTATTTTGACTGATTGCTATCACAGGAAACTTCTATTGTTAATTATGAGAAGGGTTTCCAGAAATAAAGGGGTTGATAATCTTTACACATTACTTAATGGTGTATACCATGGCATTCACAGGTGTGACAATATAGAATCATAGAATAGTTAGGGTTGGAGAGGACCTTAAGACCATCTAGTTCCAAACCCCCTGCCATGGGCAGGGACAACTCACATTAAACCGTCTCACCCAAGGCTTCGCCCAGCCTGGCCTTGACCACTGCCAGGGATGGAGCATTCACAGGCTCCCTGGGCAACCAAGTGCCTCACCACCCTAACAGGAAAGAATTTCCTCCTTATATCCAATCTAACTTCCCCTGTTTAAGTTTTAACCCTTTACCCCTTGTCCTATCACTACAGTCCCTAGTGAGTAGTCCCTCCCCAGCATCCCTATAGGCCCCCTTCAGATACTGGAAGGCTGCTATGAGGTCTCCACATAGCCTTCTCTTCTCCAGGCTGAACAGCCCCAACTTTCTCAGCTTGTCTTCTTAATGGGAGGTGCTCCAGTACCCTGATCATCCTTGTGGCCCTCCTCTGGACTTGTTCGAACAGATCCATGTCCTTTTTATGTTGAGGACACCAGAACTGCACACGATACTGCAGGTGAGGTCTCACATGGTGCTTATGATAGGCATTGTCCTCCATCTTCAGAATTACTGCTGTTATAATAGTCCTGAAAATTGTAACTTCAGTATAATTCTGTGCCACCTACCTGATTTCAGCTAGTTGAAATTGTATATCAATCAGATCCTGGCATTTGTAAAGTAAAAAAATTATTAACTGGTGTTGAGCATTTGAATCTCATTAATTTCCTTCATTTTACCTGTGTATTTCTAATTCATTTATTTGAAGATACAAATATGATGTACTTTTTTATGAACATGTATGTCATTATAATAAAGTAGGTAAAATCTGGTTTATCTGCAGTTGTGTTGCAAAGAGGTTGAACTACATCTTTAAGCAATTCTGCAGTCAAATGTACATTTCAAAATCCTGTCTCAGAAATCTAGCAGTAAACTAAAAAATAAGCAGTGCTTGAAAATTAGAAATCTTAAATTTCTGTATTGTCTGCAAAAGATTAAAGAAAGTATGAAATTAAATAAAGTTAATAAAATTATCCGCTGTCTTGCAACATCTTTTAAATGTGTGTGCCATTAAAAAATGCAGGAACGCACAGGACATTGTAACAGCCTTCTTGCTTTGTCCTTTTTCCTCCAAGGTTTAGCAAATTCCCCCAGTGGTTAGTACAGCACTCCAAGCAACTAATCCTGTATAAACTGTAATGTCAAAGGAATAATGTGTGCCTGGGAATGCAGGTCAAATCTGCTTTAGATCACAACAGTTTGAGTTCAGCTCCTAGATGAAATATCACAAAACTACCATATAATTTAGTGCAAGTCTTGCATTCCTATGCTTCAGCTGCTGGTTGCCTTTAATAAAAAGAGGCCCGGGGTTGGTTTCCCTGAGAATGTATTTGTCATTGTCTAAAACCAAAGTGGTGTCAGCCAGGACATAGAAGGATTTCTTAAAATAGTTGTGTAGTCAATATAAATAGCACTTTCAAATTCTGCTTTTAAAATACTGTAGAAAGTACAGTATGGCAAGTTACTGATGATGTATCCCATCCTCTGTCCTCTCTCTGCCTGGCTGAACACAGTGACTGAAGGGGTAGGGGATGATGGTGACAAGTTCTTGCCTGGTGCAGCAGGTACGTCTCCCTGAATCCCTGTCTCCCCAAATCCCTGTCTCCCCGAATCCCCGTCTCCCCAGGTTCCCTCACACAATAGGCATGAGGCTCTGCAAGTGGAACTGAACAGTAACAAGGACAGTGGTTCATCCAGCTTGAAGGTGTCACCAAGGTTAAGTTGGCCTTCAGAACTGCTTCCATAAAGAAAAAAGGACAGGTCATTGTCATGGGAGACTGTCTACTGAAGGGAACAGAAGGCCCAACATACAGACCGGACCCATTTCCTGGGGATGTCCTCTGCCTCCCTGGGGCCTTGGTTAAAGATGTAAAGACAAAGCTTCCCACCCTTGGCCCTCAGATTATTATTCATTTTTTATTTTTTAGTCAGGCAGCAATGAAGTTGGAACAAGTCCAAGGGCAATCAGTGGAGACTTCAGGGCCTTGGGATGACAAGTTAAGGGATCAGGTAGCATGCCTTGCCTTTCACAGGATAGCTGCGGAGCCCCATGGTGCAGCACTCAAGTAGCATACATCAGTTGAGTTTCCTCTGAGTCAAGACAATTGTTTTAAAACATTTTTTACAAAAATATTAATCTAATTTGCACAATGCATAGGATTCAATGCCATGTGGTTCTGGGCATGTTAAGGATGCTGCTCATTGCAGGGAGGTTAGACTAGGTGACCTTTGAAGGTCGGTTCCAACCCAACCCATTTGATGATAAGTACAGTAAGCAGACATATCCAACAAAGCACAGCAATTTATGCCTGATTATCTGCAAATGCAATATCCAGAATCTCTCTTACTTTACTTGCTTGATACTTCTGTTAAGTACTGTGGTTGTGTGTCTTTGAGGGGCTTTCCTATATGATTTCTTGCAATATGTTTTTACTTCTAGAAAAAAGTGGCATGTATCCTTCTAAAACATACATTTAATCTTAACATTGAAATTTAATTGAAAGTAGGTGTATTAATTCACTTTTGGTTAGTGTGGGTGGGGTTTTAATTAATATGCTATTTTAAGGCTACAGTGTATTCTATTGTCATAACATAAAATAATTACCACCTTTAGAATGTCTATTTCATTTTAAAGTATAAAAAGCAATATTGTGCACCACTGTACACATCTTAGTGAAGGGGCTATGTTCTTAGACTCTTGTTCTGACCAAGTTTAGCTATATTGAACTGCAAATTGAAAACCCTATGTGTTGTCAAACTGTAGCTATCATCACAGCAGCTGACGTTTTTGAATTTGTGTAGTTGATTTACAGAAAACAATTTACCAGGTGAAACAGAGCCATGTACTTTTGCTGGCATAAGAAATCTGCTGGGGTTGAAGGGGCAATTTCTGTAGTGGAACTTTGAGCAACCTGGCCTAATGGAAGGTGTCCGTGCCTGGGGGGGGGGGAGGGGGTTGGAATGAGATGAGGTTAAGGTCATTTCCAACCCAAACCAGTCCGTGATTCTGTGAATGCCCTCTGGTGGGGTCACCGTCCTCCTGGAGCGATTGGCTGTGCTCACACGCCTGGGCACTTACTCCCTGTTCAGCACTTCCCTTCTCACCCATAAAACTGATTATTTCGTAACTGTGTACTTATTTGATTTGTCTTGTAAAAACTTTAACCAGGGCACACCACACAGCCTGCCTACGTGTCTGCCGTGCCATGTGCCTGGAAACCCAACTTCGGTCAATTAAAAATTCAGTCTCCTATGCTGGGATATGGTGCTGTAAGACGTTGCTGACAGTAATTTTCTCATGGCCTGACAGGTTCTTCGCTCTGTGCTGCTGTTTCCAACAATAGAGCGTATGGCTCAGTCCCCTCAAGGAAAGCTCATGACCCCTTTGCTGTGCAAACTTCGCTACATTCTGTACATGCCTGTCTACTTGCTGTCCTTCCTGCCAGAGGGAGCCAAAGCCTCCCTGGTGCGGTTTGCTCTGCGGGGAATGAAGACCTGTGATGAATCTTCCATAATAACCTCCTTAAATCTCTTCAGCGTGGACTGCATTGGTGAGCACCTTTTTGTTTGTTTTTTTTTTGTTACACCAGCTTTTGTATTGTTCTCGTTTAGTAAATGTTGGTATAGTTTTGTGGGCAAAAGCTGAATACTAAAGCATTATGAATAAGTTTTGAAGAAGGATGGGTCTGTTCTTTTTTCAAATGAAGACCATAGGCACAGGAAGATCTTAAATCAGTCAATTAAAAAGAAAAATTAAGGGGAAACTAACAAAATATTTTCCCAAAGAATATCTTTTTCTTAAGAAAACTGACCTATACTACTAATAGTATCTTATGTGATTAAAGCACTGTTTTACAATGTTGTTTTGTGTTACTGATGCCTGCTTACTTTTTGCATTTCATTCATACTGGATGGAGAAAATATATCAGTAATCAGTTTCAGAAAGGGTTCTTTGCATTTTATTTTTTTTTTTAAGCTATGATTTAAGTATAAAAGCTGTCATCTGAATACTGGTAAGCTCAGAAAAGGACTTTCAACCTGCAAAGACATATAGAAGTTACTTTATGCACAGAAGAATTTCAGCACTTTTTGGGGCATATGGAGAAAGAAGATTAACATTCCTGCAGTGCATATTGTACCCATATTTTGCACATTCTAGCAAGAGTAACAACTTTAAGAAAAGGAATAATTTCAGACATAATTGTTACATTTAGAATAAAAACCAGAATATGGATTGTGCTATACTCCAGGTATTTTGGTAAGTTAGCAGTCGAAAATAATTTAGAATAGAATCGACATGCTAACACAGTAATAATAGCAAAAAGGAAGTTTTGATTGCGTTAATAGTAGTAAAAACACATTCCTACATTTCCAGTTGTGCTCTGTCTTCTATCAGTTAAACTTTGCCTACTAATTGTCCAAACAGATGTGCCAGAGTAACTGTGGTTGCAGTGAGGTCCTTTACCTTCTGTGGATATCTGTGGATGTGTTGGTCTGTACCGGAGGCTTGCTGTAGGACTGTACAGAGACTGAAAGCAGAATGAGCAGTGAGGGTTCTTACTGCCAAACCTAGACAGCCCCATTTATGTTGTACAAGACCTCTCTCTGTTACAGTAGCCTGTGCCTGACAAAATCAGGCTTCTGGTTGATAATGTAAATTTCTGTTAGGAATCCTGTGGCTTGCTGCTTGGATTCCTATTAATTTATGGTAATTTTTTGACTGAGAAAGCAAGCATGCAGTCATACATACACCTTTCTTTCAGTCTTCTTCCTTTGACAATTTAGTCTTTGAGAAAGATAAGTGAAAGTCTGTAGGGTCACATCTCCACAAGCCAGGAATCCTTCTCTGGTCCCCACAGATAAGCTTCTGCCTCTCAAAACAGGTTATCCACTTCCAGGGTTGTATTGGAAATGGTCCTTGGCCTGCATTAACCTCCAAAAAAAGTGTGGCCAGCCATTGTTTGTGAGTGCTGCTTGGCCCAGACCACAGCAGTGGCAGGAATAATTTTAACAGAATGGATTCTGTGTGCTGCTGTTGGAGCCTGACTCTCCAAGCCCTTTAGTCCCAAGGTGAATGAGACTGGTTGATGTCTGCATGTCGGCCTGTTGTAATTGTCTGTGTGCACCAGTGTCTGATCTGTGTCCAAGCTGTACACTAAATGAAAACAAGAAACCAGGCTGAAGGCTCTTTACTCATAGTATGTGATTTCTGCGTATGTTGAATTTGTTGACTGAATTCATTACACCAGAATGAAAACCCCTGTGAGCCAGTGTCTTGTAAAACTTGAATAAATAGGCTTTATTGATGCAACTAGTTCCTTTGGGCCTGTGATACCATCTCTCTCAAGCAGAATTCCTCTTCAGTTTCATCTTTGGAAACTGATGATGCTTTACAGCCCAGTGACTCAGGACCACATGTGTGGATTAATAATCTTAGTGCTTTCCGGATATTGCCTGTTAACCTTCTATTGTATTGTTTGTGGACAACAGAAAATGTTACCATTCAGCAAAAATCCACTAAACCTAGCACAGCAACCGAGTCTGTCCTATGGGACTGCTCATCTGTGAGTTTCTGAAGCCTCTCAATTTGTGGGAAATGTTTTTCTAATCAATTCCTTGTCCCTAAATAAACTGCTAGGTAAGGTTCAGAAACATTCAGCAAATGAAGTTGTTTCTACTCTCCAGGAAGGTTGCATGTCAACTCATTAAAAGTATACATGTTGCCTTTGGCATGTACATGTGTTGCATTACTGTAATTGTAATAAAAGCTATGATTAAGGGCAAAAAAGATGGTAAAAATTTCCTTAAAACTAATACGTCCGTTAAAACAAACCAACCTGCCAGGGATTTGTTACCACATCCAAAGATTAGTCACAACAATGTTTTCTCTCCTCTGAAAGGAAATGAGATTTGAAAACTTAATTATAGCGGAACCAAGTGCCACTCCTGTTGACACTGAGAGTGAAAAGCTCCATTCAGTGGAAGCAGAATCAGGCCCATGGTTGAAAGACTCAGTGAAGGAAGAATTATATTAACTACCTGTCTCACTGTTTTGAATTATGTTTGTTACAGCTTCTTATGCAAACTCATCTTTCCATTGTCCTAGCTTCATCGCTGATGTTACAGAGAAACCCCAGTTACACAGCATTGCAATGACATGGTGCAGAAGGATAACATAATATTATGTCTTGCCCCAAAAGGGAAATAGGAAAAAGAGAGACAGCAAGGACTGCAAAAAAAATGGATTGTAGGGAAGGATAGGAAGACAGTATATAAATAATAAAGGGACTATCACAAGCAGAGGGGTCTGAGAGTAGTTTACCTACCAGGATTAAACTTCCAAAAGGAAAACTACTAGGATTAACTTCCAAAGGATATTTTAGGGCAGAAGAAGTGTTACAGTGAGCAAACTGGCATTTGGGTACTTGTATTCATGAACCTAAGAGATGAATAGTCAGAAAAATTGGACATTACTGACCTTGAGTTATCTGAAACATTGTCACTCTGTTTAGTCAGGCTAGCAAAACGAGGCTACCCCTATCTAGTGCAGTAGTGGTTGTTGTACAAATCATGTACTGTCCTGCAGTGCTGGAATACTTTGGCACTCCAGCACATTGAAATTTGTAAACATTTCTTTGGTGACAGATGCCAGTAGCAGACTTATGGTGACAGTAATCCATTCTATCTACACAGGACAGGATTTATTGTCCAGCCGTTTGACTGGCAAACTTCCTCCATTTGTTCCTGTAAAACTTCCACAAAAGCACAGACATTACATAATGGGTAAACACCACAAAGCTTTTTCAGGAGGAGGGCTCATAGGTCAGGGGTTAACGTCTGGATGACAGTGAAGATACAGATAAGCACAATAGCGAGAAAAACCTCCAGCTGGCCCAGATGAGGTGTGTCCTTTGTGATCTTGAACCCGTGACTTCTCCGGAGGAATCTCCCTGTTTGCTTAACCTACGCAGGGAGCAAGGGAGTGCTGCAATTGGGAAGGAGGGAGCTCAGAAACCTGAAATGAGGGTTTCGGGTGGGTTTAGACTGACACAAGAGTGAAGGCTGGAGACAGTAGATTTGTGGTTTATTCTAAGAGTCCAAGAGGCGTTGTAAGAAAACAAGGAACTAAGATTAAACTTCACAGTTTGGATTAAAATTTTGTCTTGTTATGCGTACGGAGACATTCAGATTTCACATGGAGTATTTACATTTCCCTCATTTTACAGAGAAAAAAGAGCTAATGCAGTTTCAGGCACTCCACTTTTATGCCTGTAGGGAGCACTTTTATGACTGTATAGGAAGTAGGAGTCCTGACTGAGGGATTGAGACTCGTTTCCCAGCAGTAAGTACTTCTGTCTGTTCACTGCACAGGATGGCAAAAGTATATCCCTGAAGTGCCATGGAGTAAAAAGCTTTCTTGTAGGATAAAATCTGCAGAACTGTCAAATAGCATCTGGGAGATGCATTTGTATCAAAAGCTGGTGAAACATAGGCTTCCAGTTGCTGTGAAAATGGACCATAAGCTTTTCCATTGACTAAGTTATTTTAAAATTTTATTTCCAAGGAGCCAATTGGAAAATTGCTTTCTGGGTTTGAATTATCCCAACTTTGGTACTTGTCATGTCTTGAGATCTGTTTCTATTGCAATTCTTTCTTCATAATCAGAGAGACTTTAAATATGACATTATGGGTAGTGTTCACCTTACCACTCTGGACATCATGCTGTCTGAATAGTTGGCATCTAAAGCAGGATGGGTGAGTCACAGGTGAAACAGATAACTGTTTCTCATTAGTGACTGCAAAGGGACCTTCTCTCTCTACTAGATACCAAAAAGCAGAGGAGGTAAATCCCATTCTGTATGGTGAAATAAGACTGCTTGGCCCCCTAAATCTGACATGGTTTAGTGTGAGGTGTCCCTGCCCATGGCAGGGGGGTTGGAACTTGATGATCTTAAGGTCCTTACCAATCCTAACTAGTCTATGATTCTAAATAGTGCTTAAAAAAGCTATATAGCCACATAGCTAAAATTCAGTGTACATTTCTTTGTTTAAAATTAAAACGCTGTTATTTTCTTGCACTGAAATGAAAATTTAATTCCTAAAAGTAACAGAAGATACTATGAGCACCTCTAAATTCAGCACAGAAAGCAGAGGTCTTTTGCTTTTGTCTTACAGAACAGCCTTGCATACTGAATGAAACTAACCTTATATATACATACATTAGTCATGAGCAGCTTCCATAAACCGCATTGGCTAGACAGACTGGTGTGCATGCAGTGCACTTTAAGTTAGAGGCAGAAACTGATACTGCAGAGGATTTCAGGCAGCACCTTGCATTCTTATGCCTACATCTTTTGTAGTGGGCAGGAGGATTAAAGCTTTCCCTCCCCCCACCCCAAAGCTACTGGGCATCTGTGCAGATCTTTGAAGCTGGAGCAGTACATCTTCAAGGTGATTTTCCAGGCTGGCTGAAATCAAAGCCCTGGTAGTAAAAAACAAGGTTTAGATAACTTCTGGCTATAATGCAGAAATAATTTCAATGATACTTTTC